TTTAAGCCTCCCCTCCAAAGCTTTTTCCAACCTCTCCTCCTTCATGCCCTCATCATAGGCCATACAGACATCTACAGCCCTGCATCACTGTGAAGCATTTATTTGTTTTCTCATCTGTCTTCCTCTAATATGAAAAACCCTTGAGGACAGGCCGAGTGCGTTATTTGTTTCATTATCCCTCTCATCTCCTTTGGCGCACAGTAGATACTACTTGGTACATAATGAGGTGTTTTTTGGTTTTTTGGTGGGGAAGCTCCTAGGATCACCCCTGGCTCTGTCCAGGCACAACAAGTATGGATGACTTTTTCTTGATCACAGTATGACCCAATTTTCCTCTGTGGAACGAGGTCCGAGAGAGGAAGGCTTGGAGGCTAGGATAAACCCCCGGCCCTCTGTGCTCTCACCTGGTGGTGGCATGGCACGGACCCCCTCGTCCAGCTCCACGGGCTCCCCAACCCCAGCCTCATTCACAGCCCGGATTCGGAAGAAGTATTTCTGCCTCTCAGTGAGGCCTCCCACCGTGTAGCAGGTGCCCGAGATGGGGATCTTTGTGCACTTGGACCACTCTTTGGAGTCTTCAGCTCGCATCTCCAGGATGTAGCCAGAGGGTGGGTCTCCCTCTGCAGGCTCCCGCCAGGCCAGGGAGATACTGGAGTTGGAGGAATCAGATACGTGCAGGCCCTGCACCAGGCCTGGGGGTTCTGGGGCACAACACACATCAAGTCAGCCCCCAAACTCATTTTCACTCAATCCTGTGCCAGTTCCCACATTCAATAGCCCTGAAAGCTAACTTCACAACTTCACAACTTCACTCTCACAATTAATACCTTCAATACCTGACCTTGCACACTCAACGATCTCCAAGTTCAATTCTCTTACTGACTCAACACTTTCACCCTTGAAGTCAGTATCCTCCAAATTCAACATATTATACACATTCAACCCCTCTATATGCAACCCCCCAACCTTTAACCTACCTATCTACACCACATCCATTCACATACAGTATCGCCACCTCAACTCCTAAACTCAACACTCTCCTACCATCTACTTAACACTACTCCATCCTCAACCATGCTTCTACTACTTCACTTAATACTAGAAATACTCAGAGTTTAATAAAAAAATTTTTCCCAACCTGCCTCCTCACTGTCTCTGGTCTCAATCTTTATTTGTTGGCTTTCTTATGTGTCTGAATTCTGTCTCTCTGGTAGGCTGGAAGCTCCCAGAAAGTGAAGACTCTTTGATACTGCCCCCTCCCAGCCCATTACACTTTCCCATAGAAGCAGTCCTCTTTCTAGGGTGAGTGGGCTAATTCCACTATGTGTTGGGGCCTGGCAGCCCCTAACTCACTGACAGGGTCTCTGGCCACCACTGAGTTGGATGGTATACTGGGATGTCCAGGGCCTGCCTTATTCACAGCTATAACTCGGAATTCATATTCTGTATCCTCCAGGAGACCATCCACTGTGCACTCGGTGCCTGAAATGGGAATTTGAGTGGTCATGAGGCCAGGAGATCCATGTAGTAAGAGGGCAAGGAAGAGAGGGTCGTGGATGCTATTAAAATCCCCAAAGGAATTGGGGAAGGGAGTATGTTCAGATCAGCATGGGTCATGGTCCACCCGGCAAACCTCTCTTAGTCCCTTCTGGGCCTCTGTCTCCAAGAACTCACCCTGGATGGGGTCCTTGTTGAATGGCACCCACAGGTTACTGCCTTTCTTCCTTCGTTCTACAATGTAGCCGAGCACTGGGGCTCCCCCATCCTGGGTGGGGGCATTCCACGTGATGGTCACGGACTCTTTGGTCACATCAGTCACTTGAGGCTGGGAGGCAAGACCAGGGGGCTCTATAGGGGATGGAGAGAGGGCAGAGGTTAGGAGAGGGAGCACATAGACAGTTGCCCACCCCGTGCTGACCTCTGGCTGCCTCCTTAAACCCATGATTCTTAACTCTGGTTGCACATTAATATGAAGTGGGAAGAAAAAAGGAACAAAAACACACCACCAATAATTAGTGTTTAGGTCCTACCTCCAGATAGTTTAATTTAATTGGCCTGGGGTGGAGGCCAGGCACCAGCATTTTAAAAAAGACTTCTGGTGATTCTAATGTGTAGCCAAGATTGAGAATCACCCACTTAAACCTTCCAACATGTGTCACCCCCAATGCCCCTGTTTCTTAAAAATTTATTTAGTGTGTGTGTGTGTGTGTGTGTGTGTGTGTGTGAGAGAGAGAGAGAGAGAGAGAGAGAGAGAGAGAGAGGGAGAGAGAGAGAGAGAGAGAGCGTGTGTTGGTTGACTTCTGTATGTGCCCTGACTGGGGATTGAACCCACACCTTGACATATTGGAATGACACTCTAACCAACTGAGCTACCCAGCCAGGTTGCTCCAGTTCTTAAGGTACTGTCTTGACACGCTGGGACATGGGATCAGTTGGAAGGAGTATAGCAAGTAATTAAGTAGTAATCTTAATTAAAATATTGATGTTATCAAGGGTTTTCTTTGGAAAAAATCTTAGCATGGATTAAGGTTATCCCTAAAATAACATCTCTCACTTGGGTTTGGGATGATTTCTGAAGTGGAGTCAGGTCCCTGGAATTGTGCACAGTTTTGGAAATATATGCAGGAGTATGCTATGCATGTGCTCTGACTGGGGAAAGTTTAGAATTCCTGCCCCACAGGATGTTTGGCTCTTACTCTGGAATCCATCGGTCTCATGGGTGGCTAGAGAAATGACCCTGTGAAATTCCCCACAGTCCAGCATTCCTCATTAGCTCAAGGCCCCCATCCTGAACCCTGAGTTTGCCACTGAGCTGTGGGCTATCTCACTGACCGATAGGATTTCCTGCAAACACTTCATCTGTCTCCAGAGGGTCGCTCACTCCTTCCGAATTGACGGCCAGGATGCGAAACTGGTAGGCTTTTCCCTCTTCCACTTTGTTGGTGGAGAACTGGGTGACTTTGCTGTCCACTTCGCCTATTTTAATCCAGGACTTCTTGCCGACTGCCCTCCGTTCCACTATGAACTGTGTCACAGGCCGCCCACCATTGTCCTTTGGGGCCTTCCACTTCATGTGCACACAATTACCCGAGAGCTCCAGGAACTCCACTCGGCCCTGGGGAGGCTTGGGACGGTCTGAGGACAGAAGATGCCGTCAGAATGGGGCTTTGGAGCAAAGGGTCACAGGGATTCATCCCACTTGCCAGTGGCCCAGCCAGACTAAAACATAGTTAGATTCTGAACTTTCTGGACCCCCCCGCCCCAACCCTTCCCTGTGTCCACTGCCCCTCCTTCTAAGACCTGTCTAAAGATTTGATCCTTGCCCCCGCGTCTCCTGTCTGTCTTGGAGTGGGTAGGCTAAAGACCTGAGGGGCCTTGTCAGACCCTCATCTTGTCCCCTTCTAGACAAGATCTCCCCCTCTTCTGAGCTTCCAGAAGTCCAGTGTTCTCTGGTATTAGACATGTTAGAATTACATGTCTACAAGTCTCTGGTCGAGGGACTGCTGGGGATACTTCACCTCTTGTGTCCTCAGGACTAGGAACACAAAGGAGGTGCTAAGTTTTGCTATTGGATTGAATCGAAACCCAAACCTTCCCACCCCACTGCTTGATGGAGATGCAGGAGGAGGAGGTAGAGATGGTGTGTGTGTGTTGCATGTGGAATATGGGTTCACTAAGGTCAGCTTCTCATCTCTTTACTCAACCTTATGCTCCGACCCATCTCATATCCCATTCCACTCTTATTCCAAGTTTTTCTCCAATCTCATTTTATCCTCAACCCCACTCCCAACTCCAATACTCTCCCCAACCAACCTTACTTCCATCCCTAAAATCCCACCTCTTTTACCTCATTGACACCATACTCCCAACCATGTCCTCATCTCCAAGTCAATAACAATACTTAAGTAACATTTGAAGGTCTATTATATGCTACGCACTATGCTGCGTGCTTTATTCACCTGAAGTAGATACTTTAAAAAAATCACCCTCTTCCACAGAGAAACTGAGGCTTAGGAAGGTTAAATGACTTGCCCAAGGCCACCTAGTTAGGAAGTGGGGCTTCTGGTTACAAAGCCAGAACTCTATTACCACTCTCAACCCAAACTCCAACTCTGTCTCCAGTCTGCCTCCTGCCCTGAGCACTGGACGCAAGTGCCCTCAGCCCAGCCCACCCAGGGTCCTGCCCTCACCCAGCACGTTGAGGTGCAGAGTGGCTGTGGCTGAGCCATGGTCATTCTTGAGCTTGAGCAGGACAAGGCCACTGTCCTCTCGCACGCAGTTGGAAATGGTGAGCAGTGCCTGGTCTTCCCTGCGCTCCATGGACACGCGTTCCTCCTCTGTCACCTCCACGCCATCCTTGTACCATATCACTTTGGGAAGTGGCTTTGCCCGGAAGGGCACCTTGATGTTCGCAGTGTGGCCCACCTTCACAGTCACTGGATGCGCTGCTAGTGCCTCCAGTAGGGTGGGGTCGATAGTAGGAGGATCTGCAGGGCCGGATGGTAGGGAAGACTCACCCAGTGAGGGTAGGGGAGGAGTTGAGGGGGTGGAGGAAGAGCATGTGGGTGTGGCAGGCGTGGTTGAGGTTTGTCTACTGTGGGACCTTACCTGCGATGAATACTGAGGCTTCACTCTCGGCGCCCTTGGCCCGGAATGTGTACTTGCCCTCATGCTCTGGGCCCATATTGGGGAAGATGAGCTTGTGCACCGCACCCTGCTTCACGATCTGCACGCCTGGCAAATCCGTGATCTGGGGGGCGAGAAGTGGGTGTGAGTGCGAGTGTGTGCCCGCTGAACCCCTTCCTCCAGGGTCCCTTCCCTGGCCCCTGCTCCAACCTCCTTGCCGTCCTTCAGCCACACGCCCTCCACCTTCTCATCGTTCAGCACTACGCACAGCTCAGCCGGGCTGCCTGTGGCCGCATGCACATCGGACATCCCACTCTTCACGCTGGCCAGACGTTCTAGGGAGAAAGGGAGCGGAGGCTTTGGGAAGGGGCAGGTGAACTGTATCTTTTAAAATCATTTATGACGAGCAGGTTTGGAAATGGTCAAATGGGTGATTGGGAAAAGGTCAGTGTGGGAACTGGAACAAGTTAGGTGAGGGGTTGGGGAAAGGTTAGTGGCACTGGGAAATGGCCACCGGGAAGACTAGGAGATGACTAACGGGGTTGGGGTGGGAGTAGCCAATCGTTCGAGAATGGTCAGTGGGACTTATGATGCTCAGTCAAAGAAAGATTAGATGGTGGGGATGCAGGTGGTTGGTGGAGTTGGGATGATTAGTTGTGGTGTGGATCAGTAGGCAATGGTCTGGGCTAGTGAGTGGGGTCTGGTCAGGATCAAGGGGCGCGAGATGCTCATGGTTGCTGGGGCTAGTCGGAGGCTAGAAGTAAAGGATGGATGAAATAAAGGGATTTTGGATAGAGTCCAAGAGATGGGGGATGATCAGGGTCTAGGAGGTAGAGATGTTCAGAGCCTGGGAGGTCAGAATGTGGGAGATGGGGGTGGTCAGAGTTGGGGAGGTAGAAACTGATCATGGTCTGGGGGAGGGTCGGAGTCATAGGGAGCTGATCCATATCCAGTACCCTCCACGGTGACTGTGGCAGTACTGTAGTATTCAGTGGGGTCCCCATCCTGCATTGCGACCACGGTGTACTCGCCACCATCACTGAGCTGTGCATCCTCAATGATCAGCTCTGCTCGCTTGCCCTCATGGTTCATGCTGTACTTGGTGCTGCGCTCCAGCAGCTGCCCATCCTTCTTCCAGCGCAGTGTCACGTTCTTGGATGTCAGCTCACACTCAAGACATGCACGGCTCCTCTCTTTCACACGTACATTCTTGAGGGTGCTCACAAACTTGATGGGGATGCCTGCGGACAGAGAAATGCTTGGCCCCTAACCACCTACGTCCTCTTCTGCAGCTACTTGCTGCCCTGTTCATCTTTTTGGCCCCAGAAAGCACAGGGACTTGTGACGTAGAGTGTGTTTACTTGCTAGCTGACTGCAATGCACTCATTCTGTGAGTCTCAGTTTCCTCATATGTAAAATGGGGTAAATGCCCCCCTGAAACCCCAAACATAACGTCATTGTCTCTCTGGTGTCTGGGTCTTTACACATGTATTCCCTCTTCTGAGAATGTCCCCTCCTCTCTCTCCTTCTCTGAAAGCTGAACTACTTTTTTGTTCTTCTTGGTAAAGCTTGGCCATCACCTCATCACATTCTTTCTGACATTGCCAGGAGGTGCCTCTTTGTGCTCCTACAGCTTCTGTGTCTCCCTCCATCACAGTAATGATAATTCCATGTTGCATGTGTCAAGTGTGGTTTCCATGTGTGACATGTTTCTTGGTGTACCCTCATCATCAGGTACAATCCTCCAAACTAGTTACAAGAATGTCACTAATCAAGAGTGATGTGCTGTAATATATGTAATAGGTGATATAATAATTTCTTGGCCCATGATTTTCCAGCTGACAATAAGACCCTCATATATCTTGACTTCTTGCTTGAAAACTTCTGTTCTAATTCCATTTCCACACGTGCCTCTCCCACTACACTAGGAGTTAGTGGAGAGGCAAACCCTCTCTGTTTCTAGTACCCATCAAAGGGCCTTGCAAAGAGGAGATGGGTAGATGGGTGGGTGGATAGATGAATGAATGATGGATGGTTGAATTGGTGGATGGATGACTGCCCATATGGAAGTTGCTATGGCATAAAGCCCACCCCTCAAGTTCTGGCCCAATCACTCACGGTCAATAGTGAGCTGGGCCTTCTGTACCAGGTCCCCCACCTGGGCAGAGAACTCGCCGCTGTCACTGAGTCTGGCATCCTTAATCTTAAGCGTATGGGTCAAACCATCCTCAGACACTGAGATTTCATACTTTTCATCCCTCTTCAGCTCCTTCCCATTGAACTTCCACACAAAGTCGGGCACTTTCTTGGAGAGACGGATCTCAAATACAGCTGTCTGGCGCTCTGTCACCTTCACTGGCTTCATCTCTCCCAAGAACGTCAGCGGCTCATCTGCAGCAAAAAGTAGGAGGGCAGTCACTGGACTGCAGCCCTGGTCTCCCCTGAGCAGTGGGATGGTGAAGGGAGCATAGAGACTCAGGTGTCATTGGCCTCCTGTAGCCCATAGTTGGGGAAAGTATCCTTCCTTTCATTCTGCTCGCAAATCCTCTAATGGTGTTTATATGATCTCCTCCCCAGGGATCTTAATGGCAATTTTAAAAAGCACTTGTGTAGTTTTAGATATGTGCCAGGAACTCTTCTAGCTAATGTGCATATAGTAATGCATCCAATTCCCACACAAGTAGATTCTACTATTATTCCCCTTCTTACAGATGGGGAAATGGAAGCAAAGAGAAGTTAAATAACTTGCCCCAAATCACACAGCTCATAAATGACAGAATCTGGGATTTAAACCCCAATAGTCTAATTCCAGAGATTGTACTCTTAACCACTATACTACACTGGCCCATGGCACTTACTATTGCATAGTCCTCTCCTTACACCACTTGTCTCCCTGCTCCATGAACTCCCATTCCCATGCAGTCCTTTCCTGCACAGCCCCACAGTCCTCTCTTCCATATCCCCATGGACCCCATCCATGGCTATTTCTCTCCCTGACCCCGACCATGTCCTCCTTGTGCCCCAATGCCCACACTCATACCCAGCACTCTGAGCTCTGCAGTCATCCGCTTGTCACACACAGACAGACTGTAGATGCCTGCGTCGTTCATATTCACGTTGGTAATAACCAGCATGTACTTGGTGCCCACCTGCTTCACATCATACTTGCCCAGGGAGTACTGGATCCTCAGTGGTTCAGTACCCTGCCACATGAAACAGGTAGGAAAGCTGATGAAGCGGTTTAGGAGACTTTCGGTGGTCCCCATTTCCCAAGGCTAGTCTGAACTGGAAGACTGCCATGCCTACCTCCTTAAGAATCTAAAACACACCCAGAGGCCGATAAGATCTCTCTAGCCTCATGCTCTGGCTCATTGGGATCCAGGGTCCCTGCCTTCCCTAAGGCCTGAACTCTTACTATGCATAAGTTCATTTGATGCTTTCTCTTAGAGGCACAGAGACCTTCAGGACTATCTCATCCCGTCTTTTCAGATGGGTAGACTGAGGCATGGAGGAAAGTAAATGTCTCAAATTAAACAGCAAAGTGGTAGAAGAGCTAAGAATAGAGCCCAGCTCCCAGCCAGTTTTTACCACATCAGGCGGCATCCTCTTGATGGGATGGAAGAAAGGATATGGCTGATGGAAAATGAGAGTGTCTGCAAAGGGAGGGGGTGCAGAGAGGAAATGATATTGCAGGGTGGGCCCTGACTAGGTGCTCCCCACCTTGACCCATGTCATCTTGGTATTGGGGTCCTTCAGCTCCATGATGCACTCAAAGACCACCGTGGTGTCAATCTTGGTCTCTATGTCTTCCAGGGGCTTTAGGATCCGGATGGCCTGAGAGATTGGGATAACAAAATGGCCGTGTTGAGGGTGCCTGAAGCCTGCCCAGTTTGTGTCCCCAATCCTGGAGGAGCTCCCCAAGGTCTGGGGAGAAATGACTAGACTGATTAGATAGCTTGCTTCCCCCTAACTCCTGCCACTGATCAACTGGAGGATTTAGGGGGAGACAGATAAGCTAGAGGATGAGAAAAGCAAGTACAATGTAAAGCAGGTGAGCACCATTTGCAGGACAGTTACTATGGACCTGGACCCATTACATAGATTTTCTAATTCCATTGTAGGTGAGTAATAATGACAAGTTGGTTGAGTAAATGAAGGAAAATAACACAAAAACAGATGGAAGCAAAAATATAGTTTTCATTTGGTAGATGAGGAAACTGAGGTTCAGAGAGATGCCCATGCTCAGTTAAAAAGGCAGTAGAACTGGGATTTGAACCTAGGTCTGTCTGACTCCAAGTCCATGCAGGTATATTTGGGAGTGAAGAGAGGAGAGGTAGAAGGGAGGTGACTTGAGTTCCTTTCCTGCTTTTGCTGTAGAGCAGGGGTCCTCAAACTACGGCCCGCGGGCCACATGCGGCCCGCCGAAAACATTTATCCGGCCCACTGGGTGTTTTTGCCACCGCTGTGTGCATAGGAATTTGTTCATAGTTTTTTTTTAAACTATAGTCCGGCCCTCCAATGGTCTGAGGGACAGTGAACTGGCCCCCTGTTTAAAAAGTTTGAGGACCCCTGCCCTTGATGCACCTTCTCCAAGGTCATTTGCACTATAGCAAAGCCCAGGCTCACTCTTCACTCACACTTGTTTCTCGCTCCGTCCATCATTCTTGCTCAGCAGCACAGGTTTCTGAGGCCAGGTGCCTCTGAGGAGCAGAGGCAAACAGCTGTCTCTCTGCTTTGCCAGCTCCCGGATGGCAGGGAAGATACGCAATGCCCATGGGTGACGGAGCAGAAAAGCACCCACACAGTGTGCCCAGACACTTACTTTTGAGTGTGTGTGTGCAGGCCAGGAGACACAAAGGTGCTAGCCCTTTTGGTGAGACCCAGGCCCAGCCTGCAGACCCATGCCCCCCAATAGGCACTGACCTCCACCTCTACTTTTTTCATCCCTTTGAGCTTCTTGAGCAGCCCCCGGAAGTCAGTGAATCCGTGCTCCATGCAGACCTTCTCAAAGTCCTTCTTGGGCACGTTGGCCAAAATCTCCAGCATCTCTTTCTCATCTGTCACTTTCTTCGGTGGCTTCTTGGGAGCAGGGGGAGCCCTGGGAGGAGGTGGGGGACCGAGTTTGGACTCAGCAACTCCCTCGGAAGACAGAGGGAGCTTCTCCTAACCTTGAGATACCCCTCCCCACTCCATGGATTCTTGCAGCAAGGGTCATTAAATCAAAACCCTGTTGAAAGGCCTTCAAGAAGCTCTAGCCTGGAGAATGCGGGGACAGTATCCTGGGCAGAGGAGCCTTCCAGTCTCACCTCTTCTTCAACATCTTTTTGAAGTCCATTTTTTCTTGACCTGAGGACAGAGAGAGGGACAGGGTCAGACAGGGGAATTTGGTTCTTCAGGAGAAAGGCCAGGAGGAGGGGGCTGGCTTACCTTCTGTCACCAGCAAGGACACGGTATAGATGGCATCTGCATGGTCATTGCTTGCAATGCACTTGTAGTTGTCAGAGTCATCCGAGGTCAGTGGCTCTAGCTGGATCAGAATCAGGCCATTAGTAAGGGACAGGGGAAGGGACCATAGGGAGACTTTCTGTAAGAAAGAAAGGCATATTTGGGGGGCTGGGGAAGGAGCTGAGTGTTGGGGGTGTATGTGCGGAGGATTGAACAGCCTCTATGATTTGGAGGTAGCAGTCAGTGTTTATAGCCTGATTCTGCATGGACTCTCCCCCTTGGTGGTGAGTTCCTGGAACACAGGGACTTCCTCTGGGCTGTAATTCTATCTGCAGCTTCTGGCAATGGGCTAAGTACTCCTTTCTTTAACACATAATTACTCCTCTGTACCATGGGGCTGAGCCCCTGGGGAAATAGTGGTGAATAAGACTGTCTTGGGCCTATAGCGTGGTATTTGCAGCCTAGTGGGCTCTCAGAAAAGGTTTGCTGAGTGAAGAGTTTGTGCAAGGGTTGGCGAAGAGGGGACTCTGGGTCTTTGTGAGGAGAAGGAACCAACTTTGGTTTCTGGGGGAGCAGGGGGGCTCTTTGCTTTTTACAATGGAAGTTGGGGGCAGGACCAGTTGGGACAGGAGTAATTATAGGCCTAGGTCTCCTAGGAATCCATCTCTCCAGACTAGAGGTTGCAGAAGCTGGTTAAACCTAAGAATTATCAGCCTCTGGCAAGACTCTTCTGGAAGAGTCTCCTGAAAAGCCCAGGAACCCTACCCGCACTCCCACTCTATGACCAGGCCCTCCCTCCATCCCTCAACTCAGCTTTCTGCTACTCACTATGGTCCTGCCCCTTTCTGGCGACACCAGTAAAGGTTGGTCTCCTGTTCCTTTAGGCTCATGCACCTTTGGAACACTCCTTCTTTTCCATTTGTGCTGGCCCCCTCCTGGTTCTGCCTTTGTTCTGGCTCTGCCTTGCCCTGCCCCTACAGTTTGGTCCCCTGCTCACTCTGGGAAAGCTCCAGCTCCTGACTAGCCTCTCTTATCCTGCTCCTCCTCTAGGGTAATGACAGCCTCTTTTCCCATCTCCCAATTCTGGGGTCTCCCTGTGACTATCTTGTGGGTGAGAGGACCCGCGGCTCTCCAGGGTAGGGTCCCTCCCTCTGGCCTCCTGGGTAACTGGATCTTAGGCTGGGCCCCGCACCTTCAGCACGTGCTCCTTGTTAACGCTGTCGTAGAACATCTTGGCAGACTCCTTGATGGGGATGCCACTTTCCCTCTTCCAGGAGATGTTCGGTTTGGGGTTCCCCTGCACCTGGGCTCGGAACACAGCTTTCTCCCCTGCAGTGGGCACAGGACGCATGTTCATCTGATAGCCTTCAGGCTGCACCTGCTGCCTGCTCCCTGCTTCCTCCCAGGGATCTTGCCCCAGCCCAGGCAGGAGAAGGAACCTTGGCCTGGCTCTGACAGTGTTTGCTTATTGGAGACTGTGGTGGTGATGGTGGCGGTGGGATGGCTGGGGTTATGGGAAGGAAAGGGAAGCGCCCAGGAGCCTGGGGAGACATGCGATGGGGTCAATGTACCCTCAGACGCGGTGACTGGCTGAGGCTTCTCCACGAACTCAGGGACGCTCTCGCCCTCAGGGATGTTGGAACTGCGAGTCACCAAACTGAAGAACTGGACAGTGCTCGACGACGACGACGTAGTCATGACTTCCTCTGTGGTAGCAGAAGAGAGGTCAGAGTGAGCTCCAGGCAGAGCTCAGGCTGGTACTAGAGCACTGGCCTTTTCTTGAGGGGATGGTGTGGAGTATTTTAGGCCAGCGGACCAGCTTTGACCAAGAAAGGAGGCCCTTAGAGCCTGGAGTCATTGTGTTATGGCACATTTCAACCACCAGGTGGAGCCGATTTCTCTCCCAACCCTTCAATGGTCAATCACCATTTTTGGGCCACCGCCCTGAGTACTAATATATATATTTTTAAAGGAGACTTCTCTTTTGGGAATTTCTTAATCTCTTGTGCTTGTCTCCTGGAGGTCCTGATCCCCCAGTAGCATGAGGAGGGGCTGGGCTTGCTCCTGCTTGGGAGGCCTGGTAGCTTAGCTGAGCTCTGCTGTGGGCCTTCCCCCTGCCCTCCTGTGGTTCAGCATTCATTGCCATGGAGTAGTGATTCCTGACTGAGGGACAGGAGACATTCCCAGTCCAGTGGGACTACATATGGGAATCTCATCATCTGAAAGAGCATATCCAATGTGGTAATATCTATAATAATAAAAGAGCAATATGCTAATTAGAGCAGACATCCTTCCGGACAACCTTCTGGACTAAGCTGGGGCTGCAAGGGAAGCCCGGGTCCCAAGTGCCAGAGGGAAGCCAGTGCCAGCAGCTGGGGGAAGGAAGGCCTAATCTTGCATGAATTTCATGCATCGGGCCTCTATAGTTTTATATTTGGGAAACAAAAAGTTATTTTTTCAATATAAACTACACAAAATCTTGTTGGCTTAGTGAGTTAATCACAGTTGCTCTGAATCACGGTGCCCTTTCCTTGTCAGGAACTGTGGTAAGCAGAGATTATTTTATTTAATCCTCATAGTGACCCGGTGAAGGAGGTGCCTGTATTATTCCCACCAACCTGAACGACTGAGGAGAGAAAAATGTGTTAAGAAGCCCTGTGCCTGCTGTTAACTAGTGTCAGAGGTCTCGAACAAGCTGTGTGCAGGCCACACCCAGCCCATACATGTGTTATTTGACCTGCGCAATGTTTAAACAAAAAGTAGCCCTACATCTAAAAATTGTGAGATTTCACATAAAAGTTCAGATTTCTGGATTCTTGTATTTCCATATGGTAACAACTAGTGGGAGGTGAATATGGCTGCCCCTTTAGATGGGGTATGTCCTCTCGAGTTCACCTCAGTCTCTTTCATGCATTTATGTTCCCTGCCTGGACCCTGAGGGTCAGTGGTTTTAAACTCTGGCCACATATTAGAATCTCTGAGAGTTTTAAAAACAAACACCTGGTTTAACAGTTGGGTGAGGCTCAGGTATTGCTATGTTTTTTACTCCTCTCCCTCTCGCGCCCACACTAGGATGACTCTAACTCCAGCTGGTGTTGATAATCCCTGCTATCATCACTTGAACTTGCAACTTCTGCCCTCAGGTCCCGGTCTCCTCTTTGCTCTGCGTCACTGACCAGGAGGGGGTGGTGTAGCATGTTTTTCTGGCTTTGACCTCTGTGCACAGAGGACTCTGAAGGACAGCCTGTCCAGGACTTTGAGGGAAGGGCAATGGCTGAGAGGATGGGGATTCAATATCCTGGCCCCTGGCCATTTGATAATCACTTTTCTCTAGAGACATGACTGAAACAATCTGTTTTGGTCTGAGGCCATTTCTCAGCTTTTCCTTGGATCTGTCCTCCCCAGGTCTGGTCCCCAAGGGCTGAGAGCCTGGAAGCTGAGGTCACTTGTTTAGCTGTTCATCCTCGCTTGGCTGGCAGCTCAAAGTCTCCTCTCTCTTAAGTGGAGCAGGGTCAGCATTACTCATATGTCGATAAGGTGGCTGCCCCCCTAACTCCCTCCATGCTGAAATTCTACCATCAGGGATGCATGTGTTTGCCTATGGCCCTGATCTCAAGTAATTAAGAGTTCATCAGTCACTCACACACAGCTGTGTGATTGATTTTTTGTAAGCTGTTCTCCTGGGGAGCTGATCTGTGGGTGAACATAAGACTGGCTGAAGCTTTATCAAGGCACAGATTAGAAGCACAAGTTGGGAGAGGGTTGCTCTTGGTACCGCAAATACTGAGGCCACCCAGCCAGCGGGTGGATGTGGAGGAAGAAAGGCTGCCCCTTCCCAATCGCCCCTGCCCCCATTCTACTTGCCTCCCACGATCTTGGTTGTCTTGGAGAAGGTCTGCACGTGGGTGGAGGAGCTGGAGAACTCCATGGACACGTGCTCCTCCATCATCTGGTTGTGGTGAATGGTTGTCATGGTGACAGCAGGCGTGGGCACTCACCTGGGAGGACAGGCAGAGGATGAGGCCATGAAGGACAAGTAAGGGAGTAGGAGGGAGATTCAGAGATGGTGTGTGTGTGTGTGTGTGTGTGTGTGTGTGTGTGTAGAGGGGCAGGTGGACACGGGGGGTGAGAGCTCAGGTGAGAGGCAATACGCCTTTTCTCTCTGGCCCCTATCTTCTCTCCTTTGTATCTCACTTTCCCAGCCTGGCTACAAGGACCAATGGGCTTGTCCCCCACTGAGTAATCCCAAACCATTCCAAGTTCTGGGAGGAGAGGATGTAGGGCTTAGGTTTATCCTGCAAACCAGGTAAGGCCCAGGGGCACTTGAGGATATTTATGGACAGCCACATGGAACGAGCGAGGCAGGGCTGGAGGTTTCACCGGGAGGAGTGAAGTCAGATCTAAGAAGGAACTGCCTGACTAAGCCACACTGCAGCGGCCTTGGAAGGAAGCTGTGCATGTTCTCCTGGGCCTTGGGGCTCCGGGTCCTGGTGGAATGCCAAGACAGATGACAGCTCATTTTTCCAGCTCTTTCGTTTGTGATGGAGTGAAGACAGTGTTGATTTCATACACTTTAATAAGATATTGGTACTTCAATCACATCGTTGAAAAATAAAACAATATAAACATCTTTACGAAGAGGCTCCCTTCCATCTTGAGCCCCCATCTCCCAACCCTCCCCCCACAGGTAAGCACTGGTGGTCTCTAGGCTCCTTCATGAAAATATGAAAGTCTTTGTCCTTGTCCCCTGCCCCCCCCTTTTTTTACATGTACGATAGCCTATTATACATGATTCACCCCCTTCCTTTTTCTTTTTTTAAAAATATTTTATTGATTTTTTTACAGAGAGAAAGGGAGAGGTATAGAGAGTTAGAAACATCCATGAGAGAGAAACATTGATCAGCTGCCTCCCACATGGAATGTGCCCGCAACCAAGGTACATGCCCTTGACCGGAATCGAACCTGGGACCCTTCAGTCCGTAGTCCGACGCTCTATCCACTGAGCCAAACCGGTTAGGGTCAGCCCCTTCCTTTTTCATTTCATACATTTGGAGGTCTCTCCATATCAGTTCATAGTTTCCTCATTCTTGTTAATAGCCACACGGAATTTCATCTAACCAGCAGGGCAGTTTCTAAACCCCTGGTTTGTATAGGAGGAAACTGATGTCTGAGAGTCAGAACCTGTCCAAGGTCACTCAGACTGGAATCCTGGCCTCCTGACTGCCAATCCAGTGCCCTTCCAGGGGATCCCAAAGCCCTGTTCTGAGCCAGGCAGTTCGAGGCTAAACTTTATCCCCCTGCCCACCCCCATCATGATCCCTCTCAGCCTGTCCTTTGTCCCTCTAGCTTCTGAGACCACCTCTGTCCCAGCTCCTGCGGTCCCTCTCTGGGCTCAGAAGGTAGTAGGCTCTGCCCCTTCTTGGGGGATGAGGGAAGTCTTACCTTCGTATGACCAGTCCCTCCTAAACCTCAAACGCTGTGTCCACGGCTTTGGAGGTGCAGCTAGTGCCTGGGTTGTAGAATGGCCAGTCTCCTTCTTCCTTTGCCTTAATAGTGAGGCCGCCAGGAGTCACCGGTTCCTTAAATGTCTGGCCCCCTGGGGGCAATCTCTTACTCAGGCTCCGCAGCTGCCCCAGCTATCTGACACGCTGCTTTGGGGGAGGGGAGGGAGCAGAGGGTGGGCAGACGTGGGGCTGGGGCCAAGCTTGGAGGAAATGCTGGGCATGGGCGGGCAGGGGGCTGAGGATGGTGGCCCAGGGGTACTTTACCTGTTCCTTTGTGGCAGAGGTTTTGCTTCTCACTGTTGCTGGATGGGAACGCTTTGAGCTGAGGGGCTCAGGGTTGTGTGTGTGTGTGTGTGTAGCATGCGCACCTGCACAGTCCAATGGGAAGGTCAAGGCGGTCTGCTATTTTGCACAAGTCCAGGGGCTACCATTCATCTATGTCTGGTGCCTGCACAGCCTGTTAGTCTTCCTCCCCCTTCCCACTCCTGCAGCCCAATCCCCCAGCCTGGGTAGAAGGGCAGAAGGTCCACCCCCTGTGGGAGGGTAGCTGGACACCATGCCCCTACCCCTGACCTCCATCCCAGCTGTCCAAGCCTCTCCTTATTCTTTCCTGACTGTCTGTAGTCTACCTGCATGGTTAGACCGGCGACCAGCCCACACCAGGTTCTGGCACCTGGAAGGACCTGTTGGCTGATCAACAGCCCAGCCCTGGGCCGCCTCCTGTCTGGAAACGACCCCTGCTTGCCAGCCGTGGCATCACAGCTACTTTTGCTGCATCCCTGGGGGCAGGGGCAAGAATAGAGCAGGAGTGTCCAGAACTTGAGCCCCTGGGCAGATTCCCCAGGCCCACTGGGAGGGGTTACTCTCAGTCCAGGCCTTAAAAGGGAAATTACCGGGTTGCAGCTGCTGTTGGGACCTGTAGGGTTAGCATGGGATAAGTGTGCTGGCCAACAGGGAGGGGCTGGGGGTGGTGACCTGAATGTCCCCCTGCCTAGCCTTGGCTTCTCCGGCCCATCTGCCGGAACCGGTGCCCGGCCAGCCACACCTGTTCCTGAGGCTTGCCCTGTCCCAGGGCTTCTGGCTGGATTGGGGTGAGGGGGTGTGAGGGTCTGTCCAATGGACTTCTTTGGCTTTGCAGATCTGGATTCTCTCCATACTCCCAATCTCCACAGGGGGTGTTAGGGAGATGGACACACACACACACACACACACA